TAATCTTAATAATTTTTTAACTAAATAATTAATTAATATTAACTTTTTCATAAAAATATTGAAAATTCTAATTTTTGTAAAAGTTTGTTCCGTTGACTCAATCCAATACTCATGTAGATGGGTCATAAATCTATCATTTTAGATAAAAGATATAAATAAATATATTAATTTTAGATTTTTTATTTAAAATATTAATTTTGTTATTTTTTAAATAAAAAAATTCAAAGGTAATTTCTAATCAAAAATTAATATTTTAATATTTTATTTAAAAATTAATAAAATTAACATTTTTAAATAAAAAAATTCAAATTTAACAGCTTTATTTGCACCTTTTTTTCTATCCCTTTAACACAATTCAAAATGACCTAACCTGATACCAACGAATGGTTGGATCAAGTGGCAAGCGACTTGTTCCAGCTTAAGCAAGATCTCGAGTTCGAAACCTTGTGTATGCAGCAGCCTTCGTTGGGAGACCCACCCACCATTCTGGTGCGCTATAGCTGGTCGAGTCCGGAGTAGTCAGGGCGAAACCCCGAATACCGGACGGGAAACCAAAAAAAAAATGACCTAACCTGATGAACTCAAACTCCAAGTTAGCCCAATCTAAACCCACCGATCCGACCCATGTGCCAGGTCTAACTGCATGCATATAGCTCAATCATACTGTATAACTGTAACTTTAGTAGCCAGCGGAGACTATTAGGAATAAAATTTATTAGATGGTAATTACAACAGGTAAAACTAAACTGCTCATAAACTCATCCAAAGAATCAAAGGAGAAATCTTTAATTAACGTAACCTTACTTTAATTCCTCAGTTTTCTTTGCTGCCGCTTGATGTAGATGGGCAGGGATCTAGGAAAGAAGAGAAATGGAAGAAAAATATGAGAAAACAAACATGAACTCAAGGAGGAAAAGATAGAGAAAGACCTTATTTTGTGTTTCAATATACCAAGATTGGGGTTAAACAGCAGATTTGTCGCCAACAAAGCCAGTCAGACCCCAAATGGGTCTCATCAAATGCAACGAAATTAAAAGAAATCAAGTAAAATAAGTGAAATCTATCCTAATATTCAAAGAAAATCATCAAAATTAATTCAAATTCTCTCAAGAAAGCGAGTTGAAATAGATAGATGCTTCTCTTTGGAGGTCTGGCTATAGAAAACGTGGAAGGGATGAAGAGGATTGAGGAGGCGGATCTGATTAAATAAAGAGTAAAAGGGACCCACAAGTAGGTAGAGCAATTAAAAAAAGAAAAAGTTTTTCTTTGAGCGTTTAAACTTTAAAGAATATAATAAATATATATTTTATAATTAATTTATATAAAAATTTTCAAAAATTAATATTTAATTTAATATTATTAATATATTAACATTTAAGTAATTTTATTTAATTAATTAAATTAAAATTAAAATTTATAATTTTTCTTTAAATTAATAATAAAAATATACATTAATTATACATCTAATATGTGCTAGAATTAAAAAAACCGAAAATAATGGAGAAAGGGAAACTAATAAAATATTTTAAATTTCAAAAATTTCAAATACTTAAAATATAGAGGGCGTTTGGTAGGAAAAACTTTTTATCCTAACTTTTTTTTTTAAATTTTCATATTATAAAGTTATTTATATATTTTTATATATTAATATTATAATAAAAAAGATAAAAATAATGTTTTGGGTATTTTTTTTACTATAATTCTTAATCCATAAAATTTTCTTTCCAACTGTTTTGAAAGAGAAAATTTGTCTATAATTTTTTTATATTAACTTCACTTATTAACTTTTTTTTATTAATTTTTTATATTAATTTTTTAATAAATACAATAAATTTAATAAAGTAATCAAACTTTTATAAAATTTCATTACAAAATTTAATAATTTTTCATATAATGTTTTATAACTTTTCCTATAATTTATTTTTAATTATTTCTTTAGTAAAACTTCCTTAAAAATGGCCCTTAAACAACACAGACCATAAATCAAGGTTATCAATATCGTTTTTTACTGGCTTGAATGGTCAGTACGTACTGGTTTTGGGTTTGATCCAAAACGATATGAGGCTGAATTTCATTTTAATCAAATACCAGTCATTTCCATCAAATTTCATTGTATCGGACACTATTTCAATGTACTAGTTAATACACCAAAATGTTACAAATATAAGTTCTTTTATTTAAACTTATAAATTAAATTTATAAAATTAAGAAAAAAATTACTTACTAAATAATGTCATAGAAACATGCTTATCTATTAAAAAAATATATTCATCAGTGTGTTTATTTTTTATTTTTTCAATATATATACATAAATTATGGCTTAAATTTCAAATTATTATTTTTTTACCAAATAAATCAAATGATTGTTTAGTTAGATTTAGATTGAAAAAAGTATCTTGTAAATTTAAATAAATATTTAATATTTTTTGCTGGATTGGATTTGGATTGGATTTAGACATACACAAATATATAGATCTTTATAAATAAATAAGAATTCCTCGATGTATTGTTCTCTTTTAAATATTATAATATTAATATTTTATTAATTTTATCATTTTAAATATGGTTTTAGTTTTAAAAATTAATTTTTTGTTTTAATTTTTTTATACTTATTCAATATTATTCTATATTTATATAAAAATATATTTATAATTATAAATCTAAAATAATACATAAAAAATTTTAATATTTAACACATACCACTTTAATAATAAAATTAATATGTATACGGATATAATATTAACAACCTTCCATAAATCCTTGTCGATAAATGGGAAGGAAAAGTGTTATGGTTAAGGCAAATTAATTAATGGGATCCACAATTTATTTAAAAATTTGGGCATCATCATGTTCGATTTCGTGATGATATCATTGTTATATTTTTAATTTATTAAAATTAAAAAATATAAATTTTTTAAAAAATATATATAATATAAAAATATAATAAATAATTATATTAAAAAAATATAATATTAATTATTTATAGAGCAATAATAATTCTTTTAAATTGATCGTGAGCGTATCAAGAAGTGTCACCAACGTCAGCTACCAACGTCAGCCACCAATGTCAGCCATGAACGTCAGTCACGTGGTCTATGTTGAAAAGGCATTTAAGGATATAACAGATAGTACCCGTGCCGTCGCACGGGAGCGTTAAATGTTGTCTTTTTAAAATTAGATAGTACCCGTGCCGTCGCACGGAAACGTTAGATGTTGTCCTTTTAAAATTAGATAGTACCCGTGCCGTCGCACGGAAACGTTAGATGTTGTCCTTTTAAAATTAGATAGTACCCGTGCCGTCGCACGGGAACATTAAATGAAAT